AAAATGAGAGAAGACACAAATTACTAATATTGAGAATAAGATAGGTGGCATCTCTACAGATTTTACATATATAAAAAGATAATGGTAATATTATGAACGAATATGGACCAATAAATGTAATAAATTAGATAAAATGGAGAATTTTCTTAAAAGGGACAAATTTCCAAAGCTTAAGAAGAAATAGATAACCTAAAAATCCTGTATCTCTTAGAATTTAGTTTGTAGCTAAAAGCCTTTCTTTGGGAAATGTCAGACAAATAGCCTCATTGGTGAATTCTATCAAATATTTAAGGAAGAAATACTACCAATTCTATACAAACTTGGATAGTTGGAAACTTAATCCCCAGTGCAACAGTACTGAGAAGTAAGACTTTGAAGAGGTAATGAGAGACCTCATGAGTAGATTAATGTCCTTATAGTGGGAGTGAGTTTATTATAATAAAAGCAAGATTGGCCCTGTTGTGCAATGTAATGCCTTCTGCTATGTTGTTATATAGCAAGAAGGCCCTCACTAGCTGCAACCTCTTGATCTCAGACTTCTCAGCTTCCAGAACCATGTACCAAATAAACCTCTATTGTTTATAAATTACCTAGTCTGTGGTATTCTGTTATAGCAGCACAGAACAGACTAAGACAGCTATAAATATTGCTGAGAGAAACTTTAAAGACCTAAATAAATGGAGAGATTCACTGTTGCTGTAGATCAGAATACTCACTGTTAAGAAATCAAGAAATAAATTCTCCCTTAATTGATTTGTAGATTCTATGCAATCTCCATCAAAATCCAGCAGGCTTTTTGTGGAAATTAACAAGCTTATTCTAAAATTCATATCAGGCTGGGCACCATGGCTCATGCCTGTAATCCTAGCACTTTGGGAGGCCAAGGCAGAAGAATCACTGGCCAGGAGTTTGAAACCAGCCTGGGCAACACAGCAAGACCCTCTCTCTACAAAAAATTAAAAAATAGCCAGTGTGGTGGTGCGTACCTGTAGTCCCAGCTATTCAGGAGGCTGAGGCAGGAGGATTGCTTGAGCCCAGGAGTTAGAGGTTACAGTAAGCTATGATTGGGCCACTTCACTCTAGCCTGGGTGACAGAG